TCAATGTACAATAAATAAACCAGCTGTACACTTGCATAAAATTTTCATATATCTAATATCTAAAATTTTATTAATTCACTACAAAATAGTTCACGTAGAATCACATATGTTTATATATGACAGTGTTAGTCAGGGTATACATATATATACAAATAAGTCCATATTGCTTTACTCTAATCAACCTGTAACTGTAATGATGTTATGTGAGAGGAGATGTACGATGTGCTATGGGGGTGTGATCCGTTTCAGAGTGGGGATGTATAAATACACTGCCATTAACGGTCGAAAATATCGGAAAAATCCGATGCCAAACATCTTTTCACGATAAAGGACCGTCTATTACAATCGCTCTTTGAGATGTTCGTGCATGTTAGTGACCTGATGGACGACAAAATGGCTGCCTTCCTAAAAGTCTCCATTCCCTTTGCTCGACTTTTTATCAAATTTCTTCTGTTCCAGGATATGCACGAAATATTTGCAAACGGATATTCGGCAAAAAGTTATTAAATATATCAATCTGACAAACCCTTTTTTGATATGAATGTTTATGCATGATTTGGGTATAAGTGTTCGCTTCGAGCTGTATCTGTAGATTATATGCATTATTCATGCAAACTTTTGTACTATTAAAGCATTACACAAAAATTGATGAAAGTTTGCCAAAATGGATCCAAAATGAAATTTTAACTTTTGCATTATGTCCCACTTTTTTATGTAAATTGCTCATGAAATCCCCGTTTGCATTGGTCACAAGTTTTTTTTATCTAATTAGATTTGTTTTGTTTTTTTTTTTAGCAAATATCTTCCAATGAAATGTTAGGTAGAAATTATTTGAATTGGTAATTTTGCTCATATAGTTATTTGAATGTTTATCGTTTGAAAGCCAGGAAAATTGTTATTGTAGTATAATGCATTTTAAGCCTTTGCGCATCTCTGGTGCTTATTTTCAAAAGCGGTCGGTGAAGGCAAAGGGCTTGCTAAATGTTGCCAAATAGTATTCCTTTCAATTTTCACGTAAAAATCCTTCGATCACAAAATATGGTTCATGAGATAAGGGGACATCTACTTGCATATGTAAACTTAAGCAACAGATTACAGAAATGTGAAAATTGATCGGCATAGCTCTTTAGGGTAAAGCTGTGGTAACGACTTGTGTAAATTCATTTTTCTAATCGTGAACTTTTCATATTTATATAGCAAATACATTCTTATTGCATCTGCATATATGGAGTATACATTTTTTAGTTGATACATGTATACGATATTCAAAAGCTTATTTTTCCAATGATCGAATACCTGTGTCATCTATAATAAATGATCACGCATATGTGTGTATATAGAAGTCACAATCCTGTCATCGTTTTCTCGTTTATGACTTATCTTAAAAGTACAACATAGTTCAAAACAAATTAACAGAAACAACACGCGGCAGTTACTATACCAGTACAACAGAAACCGTCCTCTTCTGAAGCAACTGATAATTCATCGTGGTCTTACATGAGGTTCGAGTTCAGTGGGGAATTCAGGGGTACAGGAGAAGGGCCTACTCTCCCCCTTATCTATCGAAAAAAAATCTTTTAAATTAAATTCCACCTTGCTACATTCGGCGCTATAGTATAGCTACCATTAAAGAGAGAAATACTAACTTTCCTTGATCCGGAGTTGATGAACCATCTCTGAAATGTTTTGTGGACTAATTTTTAGCTTCATTTTTCTTGTTTGTTACTTTTTCCTTCTTCGACATTTGGTATTGTATTGCTACCTTGCCTTTCATGAGTTTGCTGATGCACAATCTGAAAATGCGTCTTGCTTAAGTTTATTGAGCCTTAACTCAATCTTTCAGAATTGTCTTTGGGTGGTCTGCCTTTACCTGTTGTTATAGTTGCTTGATTTGATTGCTATAGCAAATACAGCGATTGCTCGTTGTGTGATCATGGGTGTATGTGTAAAATGGAGAAAAAAAATCTAAACATAGAGTGTTTTATAAGGGGGAACTATGTGTTGCCCCCTTTTTTTTTGGCAAATAAATAAAAAGATAAAAAAAATGGAAGAGGATACGACTATTAGCAGATAAGCCAATAGGAAAGCTTATATTCTAAAGTATTTTTGCTAGCTCCCCCACACTTTTTAATCCACAGCTATATGCCACTGATATCCACGGATTTAATCCACAACTATATGCAACTGATATCCACGGCTTTACATTACTGTTGAAGCCATTTTTTATACAATAGAGCAAAGAGACAGGTTCTATTTCTCCGATATTTGTTTCACTCAAAGGGCCCGAATCTATAAAGTTGTCAATTCAATCCCACAGGGAATTGAATACTAAAGAGTATATATATATATATATGTTGTGTACGAGTTGTCATGTTGTACAAATTATAATTTGTACAGATTTTTTGTACAAGTTATCAGTGTTTTATGAACCGCTTAACACAAATGGATGATGCAAGCACACAGTCTTTTGTTTCGTATATTTCTGTCATATTTTCACAACTACATGATACAGTCTAATACTGAGCATTGATTCCAAAAACATTATAAGAACTCAAAAAGACTTTTGATGGATATGATTTTGGTATAAGGAGAAAAATAAAATTAGAATTTAAACAATTCTGGTGTCCTTATTTCCAGTTTGAGGACAAGGAGAATAGCACAAAATGTTAGGTTGAAGTATATAAATTTGAATTTAAAACATTAAACTGATACATTTTAGAAGATAAACCTGTATCACCTGGTGCAAGAAGGTATGTGTCAAAAAACTTATAACTTGTACAAAAACCCTGTACAAATTATAATTTGTACAAACTTACATCTTGTACACAACATATATATATATCATATACCTAGGACTAACATAGTAGTGTAATAGTCCTAATATATATACGTAAGATATTGTTTCACAGGTTAACATATTTCCATTTATTCAAAATGGTATTTGGCGCTATATGTTGGTGTTTAAGACATTTTGATACTCAAGAGCTAATTGAATATTTTTTTGTCAAATTTTGCATCGAAGGACGTCATTTACCAAAATGAATTAGAGTTTGTGTCAGAAAGACAATACGTAGCTTTACTTTCAACATAATCCTTGGTTTTGGTTAACAATTTATGTCCGTCTTTTACATTTTGGGGATAAATACTCAAAATGCCAAAATCTGTCAAAATTTTAGCCTAAGGCTATCTTCGTGCGTTTAGAATTTGGTGATCTGTTTAGAAATAAACCATAATATTGTCATAAGCATTTGGCTCTGATACTAATTAAAGATTGAAAGACTTTTTGCAAATTAGTCTGGTGGGAAATAATTTCAAGGGAAATTGGTCTACCTCTTTAATCTGTTTTTGATAATCTTGGCATCGGAGGACATTCGAAACTTCAACTTGAGATTTAGCTTTACTATACCGATACATGATTCTTTATTTAAGTTCAGAATATATATTGTAGAAGAAAACTAAAAAATGTTCCGGAATTCGCCAATGAGATAGCAACTAAACGCTAAAAATATCCAAAAGATATCTAAACGACCGGAGGTTTTCGACCTTCAAATGGTATACAGCTCTAAATCGCGCAGTCAAAACCAATAATTGTATGTCTAAAATATTTGAAATATATACTAGTATACAATTCCTTGATATGACAAACGGCTTGGGACAGGCACATGAACACGAGGCAGGGTAAATTTAATAAAACTGTTAATTAATCAGAGTACACACACATAAAACTGTGATTAAACGAATTTATATTAAAAGATTTGAGGCTTAAATGGGCCTGGTGTGAAGAAAAATATGAGGCGAAATTGGCCCTGCCTCATGTCAAATACATTTACATTGAGACATTAGATATAAAATAGGTGCTTCAGCTTGCTTTTCGGTTTAGAACTTGCGCATTGTTTAGACCAATCTAAAAAAGACAGTACAACATATATTCCATCACCGCATAATACACAGGACTCTTGGCGACATTGTGTCAAGATTTAGAGTTCTGGAGATGTGGTTGCTTATTGGTTTCCACGTCCGAGTGTTCTGACAATCAAAAATCAATCCCTCCCATTTTTTCTCCTAAGGGAAATTTCGTCATTAAAACAGAGTCCGCAAATTTCCGTTTTAAGTAGTTAAAGGAATGCTTTCTATAAGCGAGAAAAAAAGTTATTCCCAGATCATAAGGTATTATTCGCACCTGTCACGACGGACGGGTAAATAATTATCTCGTTAGATAACTGTCTCGTGTCGTCTCTATTTTTTATTTTCTAATTAGAAATGATTGCGCAATAATAAGTTAACATAAATCAACAAAAGAAAATGTTTATCTCTTTATGGTTTCCCTAGTTGCACGATTTAGGAGCTTCTTATCAGCTAACCTTTGGCAAACTTTGTCAGACGAGATTACCGTTTCGTTTGATAGGTTGATAAATGATTACAAAGAAAGTGTTATATACAAAATTATTGATAATATCGGGCCCAAGAAATGTCAAATCCTGTTCATTTCTCTGTTAGAATATGCCAAAATTATTTAGACAGGCAGATATACAGTTAATGTAATTACAAACGGATTAATTCAAGTCTGACGTGTTTACATTACGCATTGATTTGTAATAATTTAATAACAAAAGTCAATTCAATAAACTTCTTGTATCCTTACCGCCTAAAGAAATGAAAATATCGATTGAAATTCAACGCAAGTCATACATTTATCTCTCTCAATGTGTATTCGCCATTGAAATGCAGATTATATGTTACGATTTCATTCATGCGTGTTGTAAAATTCCTGATCACTAAAAATAATTCAATTTGCAGCCATAAAATGAAATTTGGGGCGGGTTTGTTTGTATTGTGTATTCAGAATAAAAGGCGTGGTTTGCGGTCGAAGGTAACAAAACGTCAGTAAATACTGATTTGTGTTACCAGGCAACGACCAATTATCCAATCGATAGGTGATATACGACTGTCAATCACTGATAGTTCGCGCCTTTGAGAGACGCGCGGATGGCCCACCCACCTTAAACCAATAGTAGTGTAACGAACATTCAGTCATCCCCACGTGCAGTACCTTGGATAACATTTGTAGTGTTTAGTTAGAGTAGTAGTATTTAGAAAATGAAGATGGATCCTGCTCAAAATTCACCAATTTCAACAAATGGCATCGATGATATTCCAAATGATCCAGGGTATGTTGATTTCACTTCTATTTCAACATTGTTTACTCGTTTGATCTTTTGTTAGTTAGCGTACGCGATCAAATTTCAATCAACTAGGTCACATTTCATGGTTTTCTTAATGCATTTCTTTTTCTTTTTGCAGGAAAATGTTTATTGGAGGATTAAGTTGGCAGACAACGGCAGGTATGTGATTAATTCAATTAATGAAATATGTCATCTTCTTTTGTTTTTACCGATAAAGTTGTGATGTTCCGGTTCAAAGATCGTAGCACACCGTTAATTATTTTCAATGGAGTTTTTTGTCGGAAGTATTCGAATCAAATGTCAACGAGTTCATCAGCAAGTGCTTGTTAGATCTATGGTCAATTTCAAAAATGTGCTTTTTTAATTTGTAGAAACCCTTAAATCGCATTTTGGTGTTTATGGAGAAATTAAAGAAGCTATGGTTATGAAGGACCCGACTACAAAACGTTCACGGTAAGAAACTCATTGTTTACATTTTTCGTTACGGGTCATTGATTTCCAATGCAATTGTAATTGTTTCGCTTTCTATTATTAGAATTCACACATTTCCCATCGCCTCAAGAAATTGATTTTGAACTGGGAACAATTAACAATTGATTTTAAACCATCCAGTCATTTTCTTTGGGTGTATACACTAAAACATTCCACAAGAAAGCAGCAACACAATAGCCTAATTCATTGTGATGTAGATATTTAAATAATTAAATGATATTTTTATAACATATTAGGTCAAATGAATTATAAATTTAATAGTTCACCTTAGTAGATATGAAAATATATGACATTCACTTTTGTTCTTTTATGTAACCCATCAAAAGATTTAAAATGGGACATTGTTATAAAATAAATTACAAGTAAAAACATTGTGTATTAAAATTTCCAAGGTAAAAGAAAAAAGCTATAAAGCAATAAACACAATCAAATAAACAGTGTATTTATAAAATAAACAATCTTACACACATTTAAGATCTTTATATTACAAGGGTAATAAATTTAGTACTCTTCAGTAATGGAATTTCTGTGTAACTAACATGTTCAAAGCTGATATCAACAAGTTCTTTACATATTTTAGTATCTTGACATTTACCAGATAAACTTTGTGATAAATGAAGAAAGTGATTCACTGGGTCCATATCAAGTTTCTTTAAATGCATGGTTATCCAGGTTTTTGGCATTTTAATTGAGGTGCAGATGGGGTGAAAAATCATTCAAATATATAAAATCTTTCAAGTGATCAGATTTAACTTTATTTTAACTTTGGACATTTTCATAAATGAACCTTATCTATCATAACATTCTGAAGATAAATCTGACCTTTATGAAAATCAGTCCAAAAATACGACCTTTAGAAACCTCTTTGATTTCTCATTTTAAAATGAAAAGGGAAATTGGGCATTAAGCACCTACATGTAAAAACATAATGATATTGCAAAAACAACAGCTATAAGTGCATGTAGTATCCTTCAGCAAAAAGCAGATTTACAAGATTAAAAGAGAATTTGCTTCTAGGGTTATATGTTGCAGCATATGTCAATTTCATTCTGATAATTATGACATATTTTGGCATCATTCACAATTCTCAAGATGACTGGACTGTGAGAAATGTACATTTACCTGTTAATTGTATATGAAATTATGGTTGGGGGTTAATGTGTAAAGAAGCATTTATTTCTCTCTAGATTTTTGCTTAAACAGGGGTATCTTATTTGATCGTGTAAGATTGCTATCATGTCTGGCAGCTTTTTTTAAAAACTCATATTTTTCCTATGAAAACCAAAATTCACTACTTCTATTTTAATACACAAAACCAAAAGATCATAGAAATCTCTTATTCTAATTCTTCTAGATTACTTATTCAATGTTAAAATTGTAAGTGGATCAAATACATTTAAAATGGATCAAGTTAAGCCATAAAATAATTCATAATTCATCGACTATACAAATTTATGGGTATTTTTAAAAAGAGTCAAAAAGGAAAATCAAACTTCCACAGGTGTATAAAATATTGGGGACCTGTTTGGTAATTATGAACCTTCTTCATAGCACTACTTCCATTAAAACCCAGTCAAATTATGACAGATTACTATGTTATATGCAGACTACATAGCTATTTAGAACAGTAGATACTGAAAAACTAGTTCAGCATTAGTATCTTGGGGAGCAATTCATCAGAATACTTTCTTCACCTGTCAAACACACTAACTGCTTATGTTACAGGTTGAAAATATATGTATCTACATCTTGTACCAATATTGTAAACATTGTTTTATATATAACCTGCAATTTCCTTGAGAAAGTAGATGGTCAATTTTCCCACAACTAAATTCTCACATTTTCATTGAAAAATATCTTTCAAAATTTCCCCAAATAAAATTTTTCCTCTGTATCAGGTCTTAAGTGATATTTCACATTTGTGTACAAATTTTAACTTGCCTTACACTGCCATTTCATACATAGTATAAAATATTAAGTCAGGCTTACTGGATGACTTGTTGGTTGTTGTTTGTTTTTGTTGGTATGTCTATTTATTCAGAGGAGTTGATAGTTCATATGATCTATTTCACTGTCCAATATTTTTGGTAATTCCTGTGATTGGAATTAACTCTGAAGGGACTAGATTCTTGTTTTACGCTAGCATGTACATGCAATGTTTAAAGGTTGAATTGGCCCATTGAATCCATGTATATAGAAAATGAGATAAAAGACAAAAGTAAATATTAAAACAATATTTCCCAAGGTATAAGTCGGGAATGCTTCTATGAGGTTTTTAAAATGGAAGAACTGGCACTTAAAAGACCATAGGTTGGATGTACACTTTTCCAATAATCCCTCTTAGATACAAATGTAAGAGAAAATTGAAAAGATTCAAAGGCTTGTGTTTGGAAAAAATTTAATATAAATGCTAAAATGTGAATTATAATTAAAGCAGAATACATTGGCAGGATCCGGAGGTTTAAAAATGTCTTGGCTCATATCAGTGTTAAAAATGTAAAAGATTTCTGATTTCTTCTAAAAAAAATGCTATTGTTCTGGTCCAAGATGAAATTTTTTGTAATATTTCTAGAAATATTTTGATAAATTTTTATAAGAATGAAGAATTTACTGTTCTTCTCCAGCCCTTTTTTTCTGTGATACAGATGTATTAATTGTAGCTATATATGAGATCATATGCTGGTTTGCTATATATAAGATCATATGCTGGTCTATTCATAAAATACAGTTACATGTTATTGTTTTTTGCAAAACTTTTACATTCATGAACTATACATTCAGCAACGTATGCTGACAAAAATTTGGCCTATTATTATTGAAATATTAATACAAGAATTCAGTGTTGAGAAATCTTTACATTTGGAGGTGCAAGCATAAACTGTCGTTCACGATTTACATGTACAACCATCCACCTGTCATGCATAATTGCTGCCTGTGTCTAGTTAACAGGTTGTTAACCCAGAAGTTGTCTTTATATTTTCAAAAATTTTAACTGATACAACCATTAACCTTTAACCTTTCCAATTTTTCCATGTACATAGTTTTGGACACTGTCATTGAATTGAATACCTTTTGAATTTCATCATATTCTGTCGGAACATCAAAAGAAATCATAAATATTAAAAACCGTTGAACATGGACTATTGTCTATGCAAACCAGGAAAATGTCAAAATATTTAATAACGATAAAAATGTTTTACATCTTTTATTAAACATTAAAAACATATTAATATTGAAGAAATAGAAAGAGAAATGTGATTATGAGCAACAACCAGGCTCATAAATGACTCTGGAATTGAGTTTTTAAAAATTGAGAAATCTCTGAATGAAGCTCGGCTATTTTCATGGGAATAAATAAAGGTTTAAGCATCTTTGTGAATCAATCTGCCATAAAAACCTTGGGAGGAAAATATAAAACTACTGAAGTATTTTTCAAGTGCCCATTAACAATTAACGGATGCTAATGATTATTATATACTTGAGCATTCTTTAGTAAGATTAAAAAATGTGTAATTATCTTCGGCATAAAAGATAGAGCCTCATTGGAGGAAGTATGAAAACATGTGATGGCTTTGCCTGGGAAAATTTCTGTTTAAAAGCATCTTTTTGGCAGGTTTGGCATTTTTGAGTTAATGAACGGTGTTGATCATTATGTTAAAGATGAGTGGCAATTAAATGACTTTCCGAAAAGAACAGCTTCTTGGTTTCAGTTGTGTAAGTGAGGGAAAAACAACTTAACCATTGTAACCCAATGGAAACTTCTGCAATGTTGTGGAAATTGCAAATGAAATGTTCCAATTTACATGTAGATGGAAGCATGTAGGTTATGGTTCATGAGAACTCAATTAAACAAATTTCATACAACATTGTGTATGGGGGTAAAGCTTTAAGCTATGTTTGAATGAAATTATTCAGAATTTAAGAAATCGGTAAGACGTTTGCTGAAATCTTCTCTATGTTGCAGTATCTTGGCCCTATTAGCATCATGTACATGTATCTGATGCATAAAAAATACACCAAATTCTCAGGAGCCCAACTGGCAGCCATACTTCAACCATTTAGCTATATCTCTGTGGATAAATGGACTAGCCAACTGCAACTTGAAGGTTCAAATCCCTCATGCTCAACTTCATTTATCTAAAGAAGAAAAACAAACTGTTCCAATGAAATTAAAGCAAGTCAAATTTCTTATTTGAAAAAAAAAATACTTATGTTTAAAAAAGAAGATTAAAGTGTTCTTTCTTTTGTCAAATTACAATTAATTTTTTTTTTTGTCAAATTACCTGGATCTAAAAAAAATCTTTAGAGGATTCTTTTATAATGAGGATATGGTCTTGACACTTTTTGTTTGTTGGATTCTTACCTCCATGGTAACTCAAATGTATGTTATCTATTTTGAGACTTTGTTCTGAAAACATTTCTCTGAAACTGGTGTGGTTTACTGGAAGGCTACGATAAAATGAAAATCACATGTTTTTGAACAGAATCTTTCATTTAGTAAAGTTATATCACTGGGATTATATTGCGAAATAAATTGCGATTATGTAATCAAACACAAACAGATTTGTGTATTCATAATGCACACAGACTTGTAATTGCGTTTAATGCATAAGTAGTCTTTTGTATTTTGATATTAAACATGCATTTTCTTTACAATGCATGTATTTTAAAAAGGGGTTGTCAGTTTCATGCCATTATGGATGTTTTTCACACTTAATGAACAACTATACACAGGGTTTGTAGTTGGAGGTCATCATGCATTTGTTGATACTGCTCTGTTACCCCAAGGTCATCCCAAGGTCATCCAAAGAAACAAGGGTAAGACTAGATTCAGCCATAGCTGAGAAAATGAAATTTCAATTTTTGGTTCATTCATGGAACACTTTCAATGTGCAGCATCCTAGAAGTGTATCATAGACGTATTTATTATTCCAAATATTAGTCTTGAATAATTTACCAATTAGAGGTAGTGCTATGTACTGGAAGATATACCAAGCTACTTAGGACTTGAGGACCTGTTTAGATTTTATAACAGTGTGGGAGTGTTGAAGTACATACATTCTAGTTGTTTTTCATAGACTTATAAAGCTCTTTGGAAATCAAAAAGTAATTTCTGAAAGACCTTGTCAGTGATTGTTTTTTGTTATATCATGGAAGTACATATGTACTGGTATTATATAATTATAATACATAAGATTGTTTTTGTTATGGACGGTTTAGGGAATTTGGTAATGTTAACAGATTTTTGAAGGTCATTTAAGGTTGAAATCTGTACAATACTTAGAAATTGTTTATACTCTAAATCAGTTCTATTCTAAGCTGAGTTTGGTAAGAAGTTTGTTCAAGGTAGAGTGAGTCACTCAGTTACCTGTATCTGTAAATTTGTATGGATCAAGAAAGTTAACAGATCGAATGCATGCTTCTTATCATTGCTCTTCATTATAGGAAACCAGTACCATTTCCTGAAAAGGGAAATAACTCATATGAAACTAGAGTTTGGTAATAACTTTCTGGAATCTCATCAGTGTAACTGTTTTCCCTAGGAGGTTTTGAAATAGAGGGGATTCCCTGACAGGATGGTGATCATGATTTTCGAAGAAGTATGGGACATATAAAGGAAAAGTCAAGTTTTTTAAGGATGGGGATTTTAGTCTCCACCATGCATAATCCCTCTAGGGAAAACACTTTCTTTAAAAGGATTTTTGTGTACATTGGAATTTTACAATTGATATCAGATCTTTAATTTCATCTGTTATATATAATCTTACCCAATTTCCTAGAGGGTGACATTTTTACAATATAATTTGCTCACAGCCCCTTCAATTCAAGATACATATACATGTAATTCCATACAAGCAAATAGGTGTCAGCTTTGCAAACCTTCAAAGTAGAATTCCCTCAAGGACAAATTTTCTAGAGGGAAACTTTTTGTAGAAATGTTGTTTTTCATAAAGTTCTATCTCACTTTTTAATGAATTATCACTGTTTGATATTTGTTTTTGTGATTGAATGATCCTTCAAATTAATCCATTCATTTATGAGGATATTAGCTAAAACAACCTGTCAGGTAGACAAGGCACTCTGTATTGTGTAAAGAAACAATGCTTTGACAACCAATTGTCAATTTTAACCAGACAAACCACTAATTGCAATGAACTAAAAAATACAGTGAATTAGCCGGAAATAAAAATACAGTGAATTTTTTGTAAATTTAAATTTCTGTGAGGTCCATTGATAAATCACTTTTGACTGGTTAACAGCATGAATGCATTTTTTTGAAAGCAAAAGATACATGTTCCAGGTATAAATGAATAAAACGTGGAATATTTCCATAATGAATTGAAAGGAAATTATTTACGGGCGGGTGGGCGGTCAAATTCAGTTTTGACTTGAATTTTGCTGAGGTAATCAGAAAATTAAAAGATTTTTGAAACATGATATACATCTTTCTGCTCATCTGAACACCTCATCCAGTCCTCAAAATTATTTACTGTATTTCAAAATATGAATTCCATACAAAATTCTGAATTTAAAGGGAACATGAATAATAATGAAGGCTTAAGTGCACGAAAACTTTCAAAATCAGATTAAAAGTCCATAATATTTTCTCCATAGACTGCCTTGTAAACAAGATATATTTTTGTTCCACATCATGGTGAGAAGATATTCGATATTCACACCATCTTAAAATTATTCCTTAACCAAGTTTCGGTTCTATTTGGTTGCCGTATGATGTGGCTAAAACTTGATTGGCTAGATTGAGATATAGAATTTAGAACAACCGTGGACAGGAGAAGATTATTAAGTTACAGTATGGGTATTCAAGACCGATCAACAGTTATTGCATCATGTTGCATTTAGAGGTTAAATTTATATCATTAAGGATCAGATTTAGAATTTAACCTGACAAAGTCATGTGTCCTTGGTGAGGACCTTCAAAAAAAGTTTTGTTAACACATATTAGGTAAAAAATCTGGTTTAAAATTATTAAGATGCCATAAAACACTTTTATAATGTAAATTAAGTAAACTCTCGGTCATTTGAATAAAATCAAATTGATCAAGACTATATCAAGCTGTTTTGCATGACAGCAAAGTATTATAGATTTACATAGTATTTGATTTATGATATGGAAGATATGATAAATGACTGTTTGATATCTACACAGAGGTGTTGATTTCACTTATGAGATGCAGTGGAATGCAAGTGAAATTTGTAACCCTATGACTTCTGTTCATGATAAACATGATTACCCTGACCCTAACAACATGCTTACCCTGATCCTAACAAGATTGCAGTTCAGAAGCACTCTTTGTAAGTGTTTACAAGCAAATGGTTGTTTATTCTTAAAACCTTCTGCTAAGATTTCTCATTTAAGATCTAAATTAACTCACAGTGACAGACCTGCCAAAAAGGTGACCTCTATTTAACAAAAATCTGTCCTGTCAGGTCACTCTCATTTCGTCCTGCTGTTGTAATTCCTGTGCATTTGGAAGTTGAACCTCAATTTAAAGGTCACCTGTCTTATAAGATCATTTATTCCGGAGAGAGACCCCTTTAAATATGCAGTTTTGACTGTATATGCAAATTAGACAGTAACCCAGCAACATAAAATATCTAAACCTTTTCAAGAGCTCAACATACTATCCCTCTTTGAACAATAGACAAGTATTCATTCAATACAACTAGCTCTAAATTGCCCTGAATTTTAAAGAGTTGTAAATAAATTTAACTTTCACACCAGGCAAGTACCTTGAGGGGCACCACATGATATATCTGGAGACAACCACTGACATGGGTCTTGAAGTCAGCCATATTATCTACCTTTTAATGTGACTGAGTTTTGGATCCAGGGCTTATGGTCTTAGAACTTAAGTGAGTGCTCTGAGTACAAAATTTGTGCTGGAACACCAAATCCAGTATTTCTAGGTGTTGATTTCTGAATCTTGAGTACCATAATCGTTCTCGAAATTTTTATGACAGCAAGGCCTGACACATTGAGTATACAATATGAAAGTAACAAATTTCTTAACAATCATTGTTAGCGAACCATAAGATTTAGTTAAAAGGTGCAAAACTACCACTGCAACATGTGATTTGATTACGGGAAGGGGGACCACCAGCCTTTACTTTAGCATGTGATTTGATTAAGGGAAGGGGGTACAACACTTTCATCCCTCTAGAATGTAAAATTAAATTTCAGACATGAGAAAAGCTGTTCATGACTTTCTTGGGTCCGCAGGAGTTTTCCAGTGTCTTAATGTACATGTCAGAGACATTTGAAACATAGATAGATTTAAAAATGTCATCTAAAAATTATGAAATTTTAATACATCATAGTTGTGGTACACAGCTGACACAAAAACTAAGTACTAATGTAAATAAAAAACATAAAATAGAAACTAAATTTTTATAGAGACATAGTTCACGAAATGTAGGTTAATATAGCTTTCTAACTGCATTTTTTACATAAATATTTACTTATTACTGTTGAAATGTAGATTTTGGTGATTATGGTGACTAGTATTACTAACATTTTTTGACATTTTATTTCTTTTCAGAGGGTTTGGTTTTGTAACGTTTCAGAATCCGGATGATGTCGACAAGGTGCTAAAAGCATGCCCACACGAATTAGATAACAAAGTGGTATGGTATTTTCTACTTACTTTTTGCATGTTTCTTTCATTAATTTATTTGGACCTGACCATTGTCCAATTTGTTGTATCTGTCATCTATCGTACATGTCGTGTAACTAGCTGGAATAAGTATTTTATTCTATATAAGCCTGCAAAGCATTTAAACACAAAGAAAATTAATATGGATGGTTTTGTTTTTAAATTTTAATCAATGGTATAAAAAATGTGAATATTATCAAACCAAATCTTGATTAAAAAGACCTAAATTAAGTGTAAAGTAACTTGTGTGGATTTTTTGGAATGGGCCATTTCATGTTGTTAAGTCTGGTCAATTTGGAATTAAATTATTTGTGAAAATGGGTAATTCACACATTCTGTATGACTTTGGAATTAAATTTTCATGGGAATAGTTCATGTTACCTGAATAATCCATGGGTATTAAACTGTCAAATTTACGTTTATCATGGAAATTGTCACAAATTTCATGAATAATTTGAACTGCAGATTTGAGGAGGTCATTCAAAATTCTTTATGTTATGTTCAAAAACTGAAAATTAAATGATTTTTACAACTTTTCCATGCAGATTATTAATGTGAATATGTTTTCCAGCATACTACACCTTAAAAAAATGGCCATGGTGTTGGATTCATTACAATGTTCCAAATTGCCACATTTTGTGATTTTTTTCTAATATCACTTGTGTCTGAGTTATGCCATGAAGTAAAACGTGTTATGATTATAATACAAACGTATATATCTAATTAGGCATCTATTAAAAAAACACACACACTAATTTATCAGTGTTGTACAGACAGGAAGTGCATCATGCAAAAAATTATATATATTCTTGTATTTCATTAACAATTTAACAAAATGTAATACGATAGTAACAAATTGGCGAAAGGTAAGAGCCGATTAATTACATCATAATTTGAAATGTACAACATAATATGTAAATTGGGACAATTTAGCATACTTGTGTTGTCTCATTATGTCATTTCATCATATCTATTATCATTATAATTAGGTAAAAGATTTAAGATAACATAATGTTTGGCTAGGTTAACACTTAACATGAGGGTACATGGATTATTTTTGACAAATGATTGCGTTACATGTTTTGACCAGAAGGCAGTTTAGAACCCTTTGTGTAAATTTTGTCACCAATGTAGTAAAAATGCCTTAAAATTCGCTAAAAGTTCAAACATCATGTTTTACATTAATACACTTTTATTTATATAAGATATTAATGTGTTGGTTTTGATTAGACCATTCATTTTAAAAGTTCGAAGGTTTATATTATGTATACATGTAATTATAATAAACTTTAAAGTAAGAGTTGACAAACAGGACCATTTTTTTTTTCTAATCAGAAGAGGGAATATGTATGCAATTTATGTTTCAAAAAAATTTAAAACATTTTTGGTATCATATTTATTATTGGTTCATTTTGTGAAATAGAGTTATCTCCCATTATGGCATGGTGTAAAATGTGTACTGGGCAAACAAGAGTGGTGTAACATGATTCATTATGGTAATAAAGATGTTACAATTCCCTGTCAAATCTTGACAGATATACTTGTAATATTCATATTTTATTGAAGTCGGAAATGTCCTCAAAATTGTCAAATTATGTGTTTACAAAAATTTGGTTCAAAGTATAAATTTGTGATGTAGCAATAAAAAGATTCTTTTTTATAATTATTACATTTTTATTACCTAAAAATTCTATTTTTCAAAACAGTTCTTATATAAATGGAAAAAGTAATGTAAATGGGACTATGTGACAAATTTTTTAAGTTGGAAATTTTTTGTCACACTACTGATTTAAAATTTGATTAAATGAAAAGCTTGCGTTTTGTTTATATATTTATGCAAAAAGGGGAAAAGGTTTAAAAACCTATTTTCATTACAGTTTTGTAAAAAAAAAAAATATTGATGATTATATCTTTTAACTTGGCTATGAAAAAAATCCAGATCAGTGGTCTTCGTTTTTGTGCATTTTATATAATTTTCAAAAATTTAACAGTTTCCTTATTCCAGTCTTAAAAGCATTTTATTTACACCAACGGAAGCCATATGGCTCGGATCAATTTCAGGTTTATACTGATTTGAATTTTTGTTTACACTTTTCCGAAATTACATTTCAAGATAGGGTAGCAGGTAAATTAATTGCTTGTAAACAATGGTCAGAGTTTGAAATTATTTCGAAAAGATTACTCTCACTCGTTATGCTTTTGTTTGCTGAACACTTACATGTTAAAATTATGAGGTTTTATTCCAATTTACGAAAATCCACTTTTTGTCAACATTTCTGATCCCTGTTTGCCTGCTTTGTTTAGAAAGGCTTTTATACAACGTCTGCTAATGACAGTCACTATCTGATAGACCAAAATAGATTTTTATACAATTTTCCAACTGTTACCGACAGAAAAGGATGCACGCCTTTATTTCGATCTACTCGGCTAATGTTTACTTATACATTTAAAAATTTGATGGGAAAAAGCAGTGTTATATCACATATGTTCCATTGTTAGCATATAACGATCCGTTTAAAAAGTTCAATACATTTTATAATGTCCAAACAATTCATCTGTGTGTAGAGTGACGTCGACTCTTCAAATCCTCAGAATTCACGATTTCTAATTGGTTCACAGTCAATTTTCACAGCCTGGTGTCTATATAGAAAGTAAATATTAAACTAAACAGTTATTTCAACTTGACTCACTTAGATATCTTTATACATACACAGACCTTGCAGAAGTGGGTCTCGCCATAGAACGCAACATCCGCTTTCTTCGTGTTCACTGCAAGCTGAGCTTTCCAGACAGAGCAACTTTTGGCTACTACAGTACACCAGAAAGTTCTCTGCAACTGTGTACATTCACAGATTTGATCACCAAACGTGAAGGGCAGAATTTGACGTGTCCACTCTTAGCTGTCAGAGGATCATAAACTTGTTGATTGACAAAGACATATTGTTTCTACGATTTTATTGTTACTTTTCTTGTTATATTTACCTTGGACTATCCAGACATTACCATAAGTCTTGTCTATTATTGTGTGTTTAGATTTCTCATCGAAAAAACAAAAAAATGGCAACAATGGATTCTAACAATCTCTGGTATCTTTATCCACAGGTTGACCCTAAAGTTGCATTCCCAAGAAAAGCACAGCCAAAGGTTAGTATTTCAGTATTTATTTTCAAAATTTGTTTTTCATGTATATACATAATTTTTGTATCCCACAGGAACAATACATGTTTGTATACTATATATATGTATTGAATGTATTCCATCAGCTATTTTAAGACATTTAGAGTACATCGAGTATCTATACATTTTTTCATGATTTACAGAAATAAGTACATTCTTACTACAACAAATATTGTTATGCCTACAATGTAAGGCTCTTTTAAATTATTGGTCATCATTTTATTTTTCAAATATTATGAGTGAATTTTCACATGTTCTGTTTGTCTTTTGTGGTAATTGATAGATGACTCTCATTCATGTTAAAGCTATTCTGAGGAGAGGGAGGGGGGATTTTAACATAGCCTTCAGTTGAGGGCCCCCACATATCATGCTCCCTTTGTCCAGTCTGAACCAGTTCTATCAAGTCAGGGCTTCAGGCTACCATAGTTTAGTTTTACATGCAGATATTTTTTGTGCTGGTCTTTGGCATACATGTGTACACATGTTTATACAACTTTGTACTGTATTGCATCGAGGAACACTTAAGTCAAGATTTATCTATTTTCTATAACAATAATGTAGGAAAATTCTGTACTGGATTAGATATTTGTGCACTTCAAAATTAAATGTACTTCATCATCCACATCCCTTAAAAGAGTCGGTTAAAAGGTTTTACATTTTACAACTGGAAATGAAATTGTGCATTATATATTTATAAACTGACATTATTAATTATGGTATTATGTTTTCATCTGGTTGATAAAGCTTAAAATTTTATAAGCAACTAAAAATAATTCCGGTAATCCCAGAAATATTATTTTATAAATTAAAAAATAGATTAATAATCTTTTCCATTAACCTAATACACAGCGCATTGAGGCATATTATATAAAGTAGGAAAACTTAATACCTTGATTTATTCTAATTGGAAATTACACATAAATTGCTCTTTTAAATTGCAGAAAACTTGTTTATCAAATGAAAGAAATTATGGATGAATGAATGCAAGGCAGTGCAATTGTTGAAAATATACTAAATATATCCCTGAAGACATTGAAAAAAAATTCTGTAGAATCAAATATCTTAATAGTAGTACTGAAAAAATTTAAATAGAACAGTGACAAAGTGGTGTCTACTTTGATCATTGGACCCTCAGTGTTCAATTAAGCACATCCAGAGAGAGATTTTTAGATATCTGAGGCTCATTACAAAATAACTCCAAATATTCTTGGTAACAAATTATTTAAATATGTATTGCCTTGTGGGAAAAGTTTTTTTCAAATTTCATACGTCAATATTTGTATTGACGTGTATAAAAAAAACCACTTTATTGTATCCTGGACTGCGCTAAAATAAAATAAATTTTTTTAGTTTTAAATGCAATATTTTCTGTATACAATGTGTTTAGCTAGACACATTATCCTTATAGTAAAATGATGCTAGAATTACAAAAAAGCTTGCCTAAGGCCTGACCAGTGCTTTTAAATTATTCTAACAAAACAATATGAATACCATCTTGTATATATTGCAAAGTAAGTTAATTACAAAACATAATGTAAGATAAACAGTAAAAAATTGTAGCATTTTGTGACTTCAGAGTCGTAGCAGTTTTATTTCTCTTCAGAAAACCCAGTATACACCCCATTGTCTTAAAACATTAATTTAAATGAATATGACATTTTTCAAGCCATTACTGAGTATTATTACAAATTACGCATTAATTATGGAATCTTCATATTGAATAATTGGAGAATGATTCTATATCAGATTAAAACTAAAGCCCTTGTGAAATGAATATCAATAAGCATGCAGCTCCATATCGGGAGTGTCAATTTCATATAGATAATTGGAAAATTGTTTTTTACTACTATTATACAGGTTTCGTAAATTCAATTCTTTTAAAACTGAATGATATAATTCAGATAAAATTGACTTTCCCGGAAAAAATGTTTGACACAGGAGTATTTGGGTTTAAATTATGCAACCAAATTGGAATTCTAAAATTTATGATTAGCTAGGTACAATATGTCACCTGGGTGACAAAATAAAGTGCAGACTTTACAAAGGCAGCTTTTAAAACATATAATCTAAGCTAGGTTAAAAAAGGGGGAGGGGTGTGGGCAAGTAAAACTTGGTTAACCCAGCCATATTTTGTTCCTGTACCAAGTGGTGCATAATTGTTCTAAGTATTGTTTGTTGTTGTTTTATCTTTGTTTGTATGTCAATTTCCTTGAAGGAGTTGTTTGTTTGTTGTCCTTGTGATCTGTTGCAGCTGTCTAATATTTTGGTAATTTCTTTTATCCTTTTTATGTACAATGTTATATCTGCAATGATAAACATATACAAACCTCGTAGCATTCTATATTGTCATCTTACTAATCTTTTTAAATGTAGGGAAAACAGAATAGAAATTTTAGAATTTTGACATTTTTCATACCAATTCCTTATATAACCCTAGAATTTTGTAGTTTTGTCATATTTCAATTGTAGTTTTGTCATATTTCAAATCTTTTAAAATGTCAGGAAAACAGACATGAAATTGCACAAAATCTAGTTTTAGGATAACTTGCTTGTGAAAACCAAACTATTCAATGAAATTATAAGTCAATGCCAGGGGACTTTGACTATCTTTGACAATAAAAGAATACTATAAGAGAAAAATGTTAAGCTGTTTAGCGGATTACAACCTCCAGTTTGTTTTACTTGAAACCAGTATTGACCGTTATTGATGTAACTTTGTCATGCAAGTCTTAAATACAAGATAAGTATGTTTTTTTTATTGCCGCCAGGAAATCGATTGATGGCCCTAGGAAAACTGTTCAGATACAGTAGTCAAAATACCAATGTGGATTTTTCCCATTGAATGATTTCAATATAGGATCTAAACAAAAATCATTTAAACATTTTCCTTATTTTCAATTTAGGATTTACTTTAAAAATTGAGTTTCGTAACGGCAGAATCCTGAGCTATTGTCCTCACTGGTCTATAAAATCTAATCTTCTTTCTTTGCATTAAGACGCCTCTGTCTTCATCAATCGGCTTTATAGAGCGCCATCCAGTTACGTTAAAAATCCAATAGAAATTCCTTCATGTCAGTTCATCAAAGTGAGAGAAAAAATCATTTGAAAACCATAAATTGACGTAAATGTGAGTTTGTTGGCGATGTTTAATCAACTAGAATATATAAATGTTATAAAAAGGTTTCTTTCTAACTAAAGCTTTGAATGTTTACAGGAAAAATCAATCTGTAAATGTTCCTGAAAACTTGACTGTAAGAAAAACACAACATTTATTAGTTTCCATCAAATCCTACATACCTGTTAAACAATGTTAATGTGTCCTCTCTTGTTTTCTTTGTTTTTAAGTACTGGGAATAGTCATTGACATTTGAAATGTCCTCTATGAAATTTGTTTCATGTTTATCTGCAGTGAAACAGAATAGCAGAGTCACTGAATGCATCAAAAGATGAATGCAGTAGATTTGATAGACTGCATGGCTTCAGGACTTCCAAGTGTTCTTTTAATAATGAAAGGTCCCGAACCATTTGAATTTTCAATATAAGAAAGTCAAAGATTTTGTATGTAAAAAGCATCAGTAGGAAGAATTGGAGGTTCTTGACGTTTGTAATTCAAAAATTCAAAAATAAAAAGTCCCTCCCTGAAAAAGACAGATCCAGGTATCGGATCCACTCTAATTTAAACCCCTACGGTTTTACACAAATGAGAGCACAAAGGGTTGGGTATCTCGGAATACATTTTTGTTTTTCTATAACAATCTTTTTGATTTCTAAATGTAGAAAAATTATTTGCTACTGTTTGTCTGCTTGAGAATGGAATTTTCCTTCCTGGAAAAACTTAACAGGATGATAACTTCACTGTCTCAATACGAATAGGTAAAATGTTGGTTGTTTTTTTTTAAAAGAATTTTCAGAGAAATATTTAATTACTTTTTCTCTAACTCAATTACCAACTCCCATAACCCCAGAATTCCTATAATTTGGTCACTTGCTTACAAATCTATTCAAATAGAATGATGACATGAAAGATGATGGAAATATTCAAACATTAATTTCACATTCTGAGAAGAATAGAAAAGTTATTGTTCCAATAACAGTTGTATTCAAATCTTTAATTCATGATTTGATTCAATCCATTTCATCTTGTGTGAAAGAAAATTTGATTAACATTTTTTATCGATAGATTTAGTTCTCTATAGAAAAAAAACCAACATATTTTATATGTAAATGAATCTGAATAAAGACATTGTGTGTTCCGGGCAGATGTGTCCGTGTGTCCGAGGATACAACGCTCATAAATGAAATAGACAAAGGCTTATACTCTGAGCTCGCCAAATGATCACAATAGTTGGAAGGTCAAATATTCATTAAATCAGCTACAAGATTCATCAGTAGGACGGAAGGCTTTGAATGGTTTGCATATGACCATCAGGCTTAAAAAATCAATGTCGGATAGTTATGCATTGTAGCCATTAATAGAATGTTGTTCTTGAACATAACAGAAAAGTGTTGTGGCTGTTCTGTTGGAATGAATTGGACTTTCAATTAAATCAACCTGCCTATATAAAAGATCAATAATATTGCTAAGTCGTTTTCGTTGTATATTTCATTTCTTCTGTTTTCAGACTTATAAGGGCTGAAAATTCCTTCCGTTCTAAGCACATCACTGCAGACGGAAAGAAAATATGTTTGTCCTGGGGATTAAACTGGGATGTAATGATAAGAATTAATCTTCTCGGATGAATATATTGAAAGCTTTTGTTTAAATGTCCAAGTGTACCTACATGGTACATTGTAGGTAAATTAATATCCGCATATTTATCATACATATGTCATACAGATATGGATTTCATTACAAAAACAAACATCATTTATTACTCCAGCAATATTGATTTCAAATTTTACGTAAAATTAGCAATTATAATTTTAATATTGTTTGAAATAAGATGTATTTTCCAATATTTGTAACG